CGATGCTCTTTCTTGGAAGCACATCAATGCACCAAAACACACTAATTCCACTCACTCGGGTGCACAATCCGAAGCACTACCCTCCTCACCTGCTTCGTCCTGGCTGCAGAGACTAGAGCTACGGGACTCCTTTGCGCGACTCCACTAAGCAAGGCTCGGGGAGGTACAAAGAAGGCCTGAGGGCCATGAGGGGCCGATCATCATGTCCAACGGATGGAGAGTTGGCCGACAAGAGTCTCTGCTCATGTTGGTGTGGGCTGCTCTTTTCTCTGATTAAATGTCTCTGTTCCTTCCTCTGCCTAACGGCCTTGCACAAAGCCTAAAGACCAAGCCTGATCGATCTCCATACACACTTTAGTCGTGCTGACTATTGAATTCGCACATCTCTACCTGCAAGGTTTTCTGTCACATAAATGCATGTGTACGTATGTTTGTGAGTATGTGTGTGCTCGTCCGTGTGCATATTTGTTTGCGTATTCTTGTGCGTGAGGAAGCAGAGGGCCAGAGCAACAAACGATAGTCGAATAGGTGTATAGGATTGATCGCCTGCTTATCAGAAAAAGAGTGTCAGGACCCTAAACAGGCGGCTGGTGATGCAGTCGACAGCGGCATGGAACAAGAGAGAAAGCCGAAATAGCTTCCAGAGCAGCCAAACTGTTTTAGCATGTGGGGATGCGGCCGCATGCAGCTCGGTTCACTTATGTTTGCGAATAATTGTCCAGAACAAATTCAGAGATCAGTGTTGATCACAAGAAAGAGTCGGCACTACCGACTGCCACTGTCAGAAAAGGAGGATATTCCATTAGATTTACGCGGCGGCCGCCAGGTGTTTGTTGAGATTCATTTTGCCCCTCTCAGCGCATTCAGTGTGAAGCTGACAGAATCTGACGGCTTGACAGTTCAGCATCTAGAAGAAAGGATGAATAGGATGGTGCTATAAAGAACATCGAAACTCAAAACTATGACACTAGTCAGAGACAGAAGCTTTGGGATAAAAGGGTGAATGTGTGTGAACGGGTAAAGCAAGCAGGGTGTGAAAGTGATGTAGAAGAAGCGCCGACATAGAAGTGGAATTACAAATGACTCATGAAAATTGCATGTTTGCAACCTAGAGGCGCCAATTCAGCATGGCATGCCTTGACATCTGGCACGGGTGATTTGTATGATTAAAGTTAGTCTAGACGACAACCTTATCGACCTCATTCACCTACAGGCATGCAGGATGGATGGCGAATTCGCCAACCAAATCATCATATACTCCACTACCCTCAGATAGAATAGATCACAGTTGGTAGCATCAGGTTACCTATAGTGGCTGAATACTAAGAATGAGTAGCAATAGAAACAAACGGTAGACCTAGAATAAAAACTATATCCGTGAATGTCATGTAAGAATTGAAAGTTGAATTATTTACAATGAATTAAGTAGACTTAGCACAATCAGTGGAGCCCATCTCATAATCTTTCTTTCCAAATGACTTTCTCATCCAGGCACTACTGCAGCATCCATATTGCTGAGGTTTCCACGACTCCAAGGAGTTAAAATCGTTTGGCTCACGTTAAGGATGCTGATGAGGTGAAAATAAAACTATACTCTATTCAGTGAGGTCATCGTATTTTACTGAGGGAAATTTTTCCTTAACTCCTTTCATCACCTTTATAGAATTTAAGGCGACTAGAGTTCCTATAAAAGAAAAGTCAGCCCAACCAAAAATCAGACGAATGTGTGTCTACTGGTAGCTTTATACCCAAGAACGACTATTAGAAGTTAATGGCAAATTTTGTCCTGAGAATGAGCAGTCAAAAAATGTTAATTAAATCTAAACGAGTTTTCTTAATTCGATTGAAGCACTAAGTGCCAAAGTTGGATTTGTACAATACGAATCAGGAAGTTTTAACCTCTTAAATGCTCCATTTTTGGCAAGTCTATATAATAATAATAAAAAAATCTATTCCTCATTAAAAATCTAAAAAAACTTCAGAAGTTTGAGAGAAATACTCCGCAAGATATAATTGCATAGGTAGCTACAACATTTTTCTGTGCGGAACGGAAAAGAGACCGCTCAGTGACCGAAGTATATGTGGAGCTGTGAAATGTGTTTTGCGTGATAAGAGAGATCGCATGAAGCAATGGCTTTTCAAGTCGGATGCCAGTTCCTATGACAATTGCGAATCAATCCTGAAACTGGCTAGTTTTTGGTCGGGAGGACAGTCAATTATAAGGTCACTGTATACCAGACCAGTCCGCTGGCGGGAAGTGGAATGTGTTGCCATTGTACAAATCTAAGGCCAGCCATTATTCGTCCTTTACATCAAAAACAGCATTTCGTTCAGACACCTCTACTACTCCGATCCTTAACTTGGAGTATCCTAAACAAGATAGAAGAAAAATTTACAATACTTCAGTTTATGTCAGGAAGGCAGGTCACATATAAACCTTCAGCATCTCGTATCAGAAGAAAGTCCTTCTATTTTAGGATCTCCTTAAACGAAATCATTATGCCAAGTCACAATAGGAGGGGATATGAGAAATAGATTGGCCTCCTCTTCGAATTAAATGGCCAAAACTTAACCCCATTAAGAATAAAACATCGTAATAAAGCAAATTCGTGTCCTTAACTAAAGAGAGAAAATTATATACACAAAAAGAAGCAGCATGGATACAAATATATAGAAGTATATAGAAAATAGGATAAAGGGAACGAAGTAGAAAAGAGACAGAACGAGATAGAGGGATAGAAGAAACATAAGGGACAGAAATGTGAATCTTGGTCTACAAAAGAGCATGGACTTGAGCCAGGAAAATTTAATATACAAACTCAACTTGAGCCTGACTGAAAATAATAGTGGAATAATTATGCCTGATGAGATAAAATATTCACAAAGGTGCATTTTCGCTCGCTGATTTCGAATAATCCAGTTGGTCTGTTGATTAAAACTATAAAAAGGTATCCTAAATAAGGCCTGTAGTCGGCCATAATTGCATAAAGTGATGAATTGCGGATAGTTAAATTTTCCCATTATAAAATATGTAGGCCTAACAATTATATAAAATTTTACCTAGCCCTATATTCATAATGACTAGGCTTTAAAAAAACAAGTAGAAATTTGAATAATAGTTGTATAGATGAGACATACTCATTCAAAATATAAGTAAGATAGGTATGAAGACCAGTGTAACAGTGAGGGTATGATAGGAGGATATAGGAAATGTGAATAGCCCAGGGCAGAAAGGGAGATACCAAAAATGTTTAGCACACGTTTGGTCAAAGGATGGGCTTCACTTGTCTCTTTGACGAGTTGTACTATGGTGCTAAGAATGGCGAGACTCACTGGCGATGCCGACTACGATGCCGGCGAAACGTCTGGGAAAGTACCACGTCCACGGTCCGACTTTGGAAATGATGATGCATACAATGGATCCTGGACTAGGTGCGTTCCTCTAGGTCTTCCTACCAATATGATCAGGTTGCGAAAACAAGGTCAAACAACTTCTATAAGTAAGATAGTCGATTACAATAGCAATGCAAATATGCCTTATCCACACTCATACTACCCACGTTCGATTTCTGTTGTGGATGCTGGTGAGACTAAGGAGATAGAAACTTCAACCCACCATGTATGAGATTACTTTTTGGGAAGAAAGACTAAGTGAAATTCAATGACATCTATAGTCTTGTTTCATCATTATGGAAAAATTATAACCTTATCCAATTCTTGTTGTCGTAGCTTTGTTTCCCAAAAGGAATTCCTTAAAAAGAGTGGGCATCAGTTTCGACTCAACTTCAACTCAACATCAGCCTCCCCAAAAGTAACCGAGCCCATTAAGATCACTGTATATTCTCTATGTTACCATGACTTTTAGAGCAAGTCAGGTCTATGCCAAATCGCATTTATCGCTAGGACTGTCAATCAAGCAATGTGTAATTCGTAGATACAATCGACTACCTTACTTAAATTTATATTTAGTACGTCTAACAATGGTAACACTGCACTGCCCAGGTTTGATTCCTGTTAGCGATATTGGTCAAACCCATGAGAGGTTGAAGCTCCAGTCCACTCTGGAGGAACCTGTCTATTGAAAGAAAGGGTTAAAAGGAATTCGATAAAATCGTAAGACCTGTTCTTAGCAATGTGGGAAAATTCAAACACCTGCCCTATCACCACCTAATATGACCTGAGGTGATTAAAACTCTTATTCATATTACTACTACTAACACAACCGTAACTATAACTACTGTTACCACCAATATTACTATTAACACCACTACGCTCATTCTATTATTATTATACATATATATATATATATATGTATATATATATATATCATACATATGCATCTATACATTAGGGTAAGCTCTTTGAGGACGATGGGACTCCGCCATAACCCGTAACTCTTTGTCCATAAAACAACTATGTGCATGTTGATGACAATGAGGACATAATCAGACCACTGAGTGTGCTGATACACATCTATCGTAGCATCGCGGAATCGTTTGACTGTACGAAAGGACATTTTCTTGCCTCACCCTTTAACTATCTCCAGCCTGATAGATCGGATGGCGGGTTTAGAACTCGAGTCAAAGAGAGTATTCTGGCTTGGACAGAGTTTGCCTGGCAGAGATGACTGGCAAATGGTATATGAAGGTATTATTAATCCACATTGTTACGAATGCTACAGGTCGGAGCATGCCTGATTTGCCTTGTTAGGCCTCATCTGAGATTGAGTGGTTACAAGCAATTCTGTGGATGTGGACAGCCAATGTACTTTTCCTCTTCCGGTGAGCAGTTGTGGTTGCCATTGCATCTAGAATTCCCAATGAGGCACATTTCGGCAGCGTCAGGCTGATAAATCGACTTTCATGTGTCCGTCTCTTTGATGGTAGCAACCACTGCACTTACCATTATTAGATGGATCATTCGATCGGCAACATTTGATGGCAGAACCACCCCACAAACTGGGTCTATTTACGCTTCGGTAAACACATTTCTTGCGCTGACGAGACTTGCACAATGTTCCACCTCCCCCTCATCCTTCAAATAATCTCCGGACCTGTTCTGCTACTGATGCCACTTCCCAGTTTCACTTGGTTCCCTTTTGCCCATCCTCTGGGTTAACGAATATAGTCATACCAAAGGGTTGCATATTCCTCGGGTTCACTTCACCTCAAGTTCCGCCCTGACTTTTAGTAGTTCGCCTCTGAATTTCAATATGATATTTATTTTGTCATTAAAAGTTTTATTTTTCGTTCATAAGCAAGTTTTCCTACCATATTTCGTTTAAGGTGATTAGGGAAAGTAAGGTCTACTCATATCATTGTGGGAAAGTTCAGAACCTTGTCGGATTTGCATTCCACTCAGCGTCAGCGTATGCAATCACCTTTTAATTATCATAAAACCCGCTGTTTTGCTGTTTAAATTTTTTATCACATCCTTCAGGCAATGGAAGTGAGAGAGGATACTTGTTTGGATAGAATAATTGTTAGCCGAAGGAGCCTTGTTGCCAAGGTTACAGGGGTTGTACTCATTTATAACATGAATTTGAAAATAGATCATGCAAATTACCAGGCCGACAAAATGCTTTACAATGGGAAAAGTGCCTGAGTAGAGAATCATCAAATGTCGACCAAGTTCGGCCTGCAAGTATGCTTAAATCCACAAAACGGGAAGAGAAATCCGCATTCAAGAAAATGAGGTCGACACTAGTCCGAGTGTTATAAAATTATAATTTCGTTATATAGACAATTTGGCATTAAGAGGAGGTAGACTCCCAAGTCTTACTGAGCTATAAAATACCAGATCTTTGCCTAATTTGTGGCTTCAGTCTGGCATCCTGACGACCGGTGATGAGGTCAAATATGTGAAATGGTCATCGACTTCTCCTACCTCAGTGACCTTAAATATAGCGAGCCCGAATTAGATGCGAATTGAACGCGAATC